TAAGAGAAAAATATCAAATGCCCTTGGCAGGATTCGAACCCACGTCTTCGGTATTCTGAAACTGTTATAGTTTATGCAAATGATGCTGATTTTGTATCAAAATTAGATTTTATCGCGTGTCAAAATCCACACGACAGTGAGACCGATGAACTACCCTAKATGAAAATACCATGTTAAAATCAGCAAAATTAGAAGTTTGAAGAAAGTAAGTTCAAAAATAGCGAAGATTAAAAAATAAGATAAAATAGGGACATTTTGTATGAAAACATCACATCAAAAGCAAAAGATTTCTCATGACAAAAAAGTCTTCAAAATTGAATCATATCTTAAGATTTAACGTAAGATTTGAATTTTACGGAACTGCAGCTAAGCATTTTTTGTTATTGATCAGTATATAAGTTTTAGTTCAATTTGGTATTTATTAGGAACACGAATTCCGTATAATGCATGGTTGCATGATGACATGCTTATGAACAATTTACCCGCAACATCTTACTCCCATATCGAGTTCGCCTTTGCTCAGTCTTAGCCTCGATTACTGGAGTATTTAGAAAAAATATTCCTTTCCTGGCATAATGCATCAATTATGCATGCTTCGAAGTATATCGAACGTTAAAAGGATGTATATATTCAACTTGAAAATAAATAATTTCTAACAAAACGAGTAGCATTACATTTAATCCCGAGAGAGGGTGGAGGATATAATAGGGGTGGTTCAGTCGTATGGGGATGTTCCGCTTGAAAATAAATAATTTCTAACAAAACGAGTAGCATTACATTTAATCCCGAGAGAGGGTGGGGGATATGATAGGGGTGGTTGAGTCGTACAATACAATACAATACAATTTTATTTGGCACCTTATACTAATAGTACATGAGTGTTTGATTCCAAATATATTCGTATGGGGATGTTCCGCTGGAATTGTTCCCCTGGGGGGTGGGGGGTGGGGGGGGGTATTTCGGGGGTAAAAGTAGCCATAAAAGGGCTTGGCTGGACAATTAATTTTTCAACCTAATATCAAAAAAAATTTGCGGATACAAAAATTTCCGGATACGTGTGGACGGGGCCTTATAGATCAATTTAGCATTATATGCTTGGATTTTGCTGAGAGAGGGAATACACCGAAGAACCATGCCAGAAAAGGAAATGTGTTTCAGCTCGATGTAGGGACAGGTTTAAAATTGTGGGAGACGAAGAAGTAAGCAACTTGTTTATTGATGTTTCATTTAACAAAAAAGTTGAATGGTACCATCACGCTAGGGCGGATCCAGCCAAAATGTTAGGGGGGGGGGGGGCTAATTGAGTTTCTTCCATCAACACAACGGAAAACGATAAAAAAGCATCTAATTCTTAAGTTTTGTTTTGTTTTGTTTTGTTTTGTTTTCTGCTGAAGGGGGAGGGGCTGCAGCCTCCCTTTGCCCCCCACCCCCCTGGATCCGCCCTTGTCACGATTGCGAGTGCATGAAACTTATGTGTAGAAATGATGCGCATAACTGGGCAATGTCCTGCATATACCTGTATAGAAATATCGTAATATCTTCCCTTCAATAAATAATAAACAGTTTGTATAAATAATATCATGATCTCCTCGAAATMCATTGTCTTTTGAGGGACGATTAGTTCTAATCATCCTTCATGTTTCATTAATGAGGGACGATTAGTTCTAATCATCCTTCATGTTTCATTAATGAGGGACTATTAGCTCTAATCATCCTTCATGTTTCATTAATGAGGGACTATTAGTTCTAATCATCCTTCATGTTTCATTAATGAGGGACGATTAGTTCTAATCATCCTTCATGTTTCATTAATGAGGGACTATTAGTTCTAATCATCCCTCATGTTTCATTAATGAGGGAC